GAATAAATAAGAAATGCATCAAGGGGAAAAAAGGTTCTCCAAACAAACCTGGTCCTCTTCCAACAATATCTTACAAACAGTGAAACATGGTGGTGGTAGTATGACAGTCTGGGGCTTCTTTGCTGCTTTATTTGTCGTCATCAATAGAACCATAAATTCTCTTTTCTACCCAAAATGAGAATTTCTAGCCACCAGACTTGGACTGTGAAGTATTTGATCCAAAACACACAAGTACTTCTCTGAATGGCTCAAATAATAAAATGAAGACTTGGAGTTGCATACTGCAAATCCAGACTTAAATCAGACCCCAGTGTGGTTGAATTAAAACAACTCAGCAAAGAGGAGTGAACCAAAATCCCCCGACAGTGATTGCTTAACGCTTGATTGCAATTCTTGCTGCTGAGGGTGGGACAAAGGTAGGTTGTCCATAACTTGCACTCCTGAAATCATCATTTAAAAACTGCATTTTGTAGTTACTCTGGTTATTGTTGTGTAATGTTAATGTTGTATTTGCTTGATGATCTGAAATATATGTGTGTGACAAACACGTTTCTCATATACATGTATTGTCTTTATGACATATATACTGTTTCTTACTATAGAAAGTACTAAATTAACAATATAAACAATAAATATAATCTAATAATATAATCTAAATAGTCAAAAGAAGTAATGAATACATTTGTAAAACAGAAAAGCTAACTGGCTAGATAATTCATTTAAAATGCATATATTTATAATTCCTGACAACTTTTGAAGTGCTCTTTCTGTACCTATAGTAATGGTGTCATTGGGCATCTGTTGATCATCGTGTAGCTCTACAGTGGAAGCATTTCCACCTGGCAGAAAAGAGTACAAGAACATGTCAGTTTTTTCCCCTTTATTAATGAAATCTGGATGTTTTGTTAAATAGTGATTAAAAACATACACTTCTACTGCATTAAATGTTGTAACATTTGTAATTTTAGAGTTTATAAAATAGGATGAGGTAAAAAAAAAAAAAAAAAAGAAAGTAAACCTTATTCATGGAATATTTCACTTCATCACATTTCTTAATTCATTATACACAGTGCTACTTCTTGTAGCGAAATCACATGATATAATATAACACAGATGTATAACACAAGATGATGCCAGGCCCTCCATAACATTATATATATATTTCTATACAATTCAAGATGCCCCCACTTACCAAACTCAAAACCAAAAATGTTTAAAATGCCCAACTATTTTCCGTCCCACTGCTATAGCATCAGCTATGCTCCTCTGTGCTAATATAGACAGGTCTCAGACCGTGGTATTGGTCCCCGGTATCGGGGGACTTTTAACGAGTAC